CCAAGTCTAGTTTTCCTGTTTTGTTAAACTTTTTAAGGATCCAGGCATGGAATACTACTGTAAATGGATATAAATGTAATTTTCTTCTCAGTAACTGCTTCAAAGAAACAACCAATAGGAATAAGTGGTGATATTTAAGATGTGAAGCTTCCCCAAGGTTTAAAAAAAATGAATGTCAATAATATTAACATTTCTAATATATGAATATATAATTTCTAATGTATTATTTCTAATATATAAAATATGAATATATGAATATATAATTTCCAATACATTAATATTTCTAATATATTAAAATATGAATATATTAATGTATAATTTCAAATACATTAATATTTCTAATATATTAAAATATGAATATATTAATGTATAATTTCTAATATATTGATATTTCTTATAAAAATATGAATATATTATTTCTAATATATAAAAATATGAATATGCAGATCTTTCCTGAAACGCTGAAACTTAAAATATGACTGATGTCCAATAAATCCGGTCAAACGACGGTTTTTATTCTCGTCTCCCCACCTATTTTTTCTCATTTCCAAGCGTCCCCCCGCTTATTCCTCGGTTCCCTCCCACGCTGCCACATGGCCCACAGGCCAGGCCCAAGGGAGGCTAGGCCAGAGCACCGAGAAAAATTAGGGAAGCCGAAGCCGGCCCCATTGGAGGGAGGTCAGCTGGACCCCCGGACGGACCACGAGCCGCCGCCTCGCTCACCGTGTTGCCGCCTCAGCGCTACCGGGCAGGAAAAAGAACGCACGGGGCTGCCCACCCGCTCCTCGCAGGGCTCCAAGCGTCGCGAGGTTTTTCTCGACCAATGGTCGTCTGCGAGACTTGAGCTTTGCCCAATCACGGGTGGAAGGCGGGGAGAGGCAATGACCGCGCGATTTCCCTCCAAACGACGAGAACGGTTCGCGAAGCCGGAAGTCGCCGAGGCAATTTGCCCATCGAAGGGCGGAAGTTGATTCACTTTTTTTTTCTTCTTCTTAGACCAGGCAACCTTGGCTCTTTTATGACTCGTGGACTTCAACTCCCAGAATTCCTGAGCCAGCATGATTCATAAAAGAGCCCAGGTTGCCTACCCCTGTCTTAGACCATTCCTGTTTTACTAATCTCGATAATAAAGTTCTTGATTCTGTTTGTTTAACTGGGTTGGTATTTCCTTGATCTTCCTTTTCTGAGCAATGGGATCTATTGTTGCTGGGGTTCTGTGATAAATGTTAAAGATCTCCCCAAATTCCAAAAGTATGATTGCTTAATATTAAAAAAATCTGTTTATAATATTTCTCTTTGCAGCTGCCAAGGTAAAATTGGTGCAAAAAGAGATTTGTCAAGTTCTAAACATGGCCAGACTATCCAAGGTGACAGAGTGAGGCCCTTGCCTTAAGCTGCAGATTGGGAAGGGCAGAGAGGATTGTGGTTTTATTGCCATGCCTTTGGGTGTGAACTCTTCTGTGATCCATGAACAGGAAGTGGCTGTTTAGCAAAGGAAAAGATAACAAAGAAGAATGTTGCCCCAGCTGGAAACCCCTTCAAAGAAAGGACTGATGATGCCAAGGAACCCAGAGGAAAGAATAAGAAATAGAATAGAATAGAGCTGGAAGGGACCTTGGAGGTCTTCTAGTCCAGTCCCCTGCTCAAGCAGGAGAATGTATACCATCTCAGACAGGTGACTGTCTAGCCTCTTCTTTAAAATCTCCAGTGATGGAGCGCCCATGATTTCTGGTGGCAAGCTGTTCCACTGGTTGATTGTCCTCACTGTCAGGAAGTTTCTCTTTAAATCCAGGTTGCTTCTGTCTTTGGTCAGTTTCCAACCATTGTTTCTCGTCCTTCCCTCTGGTGCTCTGGTGAACAACCTGGCCCCCTCTGCCTTGTGGTAGCCCCTCAGATACTGGAACACTGCTATCATGTCTCCCCTATTTCATCTTTTCTTTAGACTAGCCAAACCCAAGCCCCGTAGCCGTTCTTCGTATGTTTTAGTCTCCAGGCCTTGAATCATCTTAGTTGCTCTTCTCTGAATTTTTTCCAAACGCTCAACACCTTTTTTGTGATATGGTGACCAAAATTGGCTGCAGTATTCCAAGTGTGGTCTTACTATGGTTTTATAAAGCAATTAGGCAGAGTCTAAAAATCTACATTTCAGTTCATTAGTTAACACGACAGCATAGAAGTGATTGGTGGTGTTCTTCAAACGTTTCTGTGGTTCCCTCGCCTTCCTCCTCCGTAGCAAATGGCCCAGGCAGCCTAAGGCCTCTCTTTGAGGAAGGAGCCTTTGGTGTGGGGCTGACTTCCCCTGGATCACTCCACACAGCTCAGGGAAGCTCTTTGCTTTTGAGGACACCCAAGTAAGAGACATAGGGTGGGGATATAGGTAGTCCTCAACTTATGACCGCAGTTGAGCCCAAAGTTTATGAGACATTTGTTAAGTGAACTTTGGCCCATTTTACGAGCTTTCTTGCCTCCGTCGTTAAATGGGTCACTGCAGTTGATAAGCTAGTAACACGGTGGTTAAGTCAATCTGGCTTCCCCCACTGGCTTTGCTTGTCAGAAGGTCGCAAAAGGGGATCATGTGACCCATGTGACATAGCGACGGTCATAAATAGGAACCAGTTGCCAAGCGTCTGGATTTTGATCACGGGACCCTGGGGAGGCTGCAATGGTCATAAAGGTGAAATAACGTCCTAAGTCGCTTTTGTCAGTGCCATTTTAACTTTGGACGGTCACTGAACGAACTATTGTAAGTCAAGGACTACCTGTACACGTGAAGGCAGACATTGGTGTCCGAACAGTGCAGTGGATAGTAACTTTAGTGGGGTAGAGAGAGGATGCAAGGCATATCTGGACTGTTTTACGAAGCAGAAGATCTTGCAGTAAGCTGCCCAGTCATATGTAAACACCCTGTTCCCAGGTTGGAAAGTTAAAAATTGGAGTGGTTGAGTTATCTAAAAGGCCCCATGAGTTACCTCCAGCCAGGAGAATCCATGCTATGGAGGCTGAAATGGAAGTAGTTGAGGATTGATGGCTTTTCCTAGCAACTGCCTGGAACCAGCTTTATTAAGGGCGGCTGCAACAGATGGAAATCAATAGGCAAATCTGGCCAGCTAAACTTCCATTATTGATTTATGCCTATTAGTTAGGCCCTCGGAGGCTCGCAGCCTCTGTTGGTAGAAAGTTAATAGGGAGAACAACATCACAAGCCAAGAATGCTGGAGGTAAATTATCTGGATGAAAGTTGTAGGGTATCCCCAGCATCGTAAGAACCAGAGATCAATAATTCAAATGCATGTTTTCTGGCACATATTTCTTCTTTCTATTTCCTTCCTTCCTTTCTTCTTTCCTTCCTCCCTCCCTCCCTCCCTTCTTTCCTTCCTCCCTCCCTCCCTTCCTTCCTTTTTACGTCCCCAAGATAACGATAAGATTTATTGCACCGAATGTTAAACCAAATCAATTTCATCTCTTTATTTAAGGGTCTAAAAATAGGGGCCAAGCTACCACCTTTGTTTAAATAATGGGCTGATCGACATTCACTGATGTCCATTATGTGCCTTAATGTCACAATATTCAATAGCTTTGTGCAGTTCAACTCCCTGGCTTTCAATAATTGCTTTGTGGGTGGAAGCGATTTTCCCGTCGCTGTCTTAAGTGGGCCTCGGTCTATTGCATTCAGCTGACGACACCCCGAAGCAGACAAAGCACACAGGCTGAAATGGGTAAAGGAGGGGTAGCCAAATTATCCATTCTGCACCATTAGAAAAGTGGGGCTATTTTGTCCTCATTAGCTTGTTCAGAGCTAGCATCAACGGGCATCAGCATCAGGGCTATTCAGAATAACAGAACCACAGAGTTGGAAGGGACCTTGGAGGTCATCTAGTCCAACCCCCTGCTCAAGCAGGAAACCCTAGGCCATTTCAGACAAATGGCTGTCCAGTCTCTTCTTAAAAGCCTCCAGTGATGGAGCACCCCAACCTCTGAAGGCAAGCCGTTCCACTGATCAATTGTTCTCATTGTCAATACATTTTGAGCAACGTACATTCTCTTCCTTTTTGCTGTTGCTCTATTTACAAGTTGTCCTCGAATTATGACCGTGATCTAGCCTGCAATTATGACCCAAAGTCATGACAATCATTAAGCAAGTCATGTGATTGCGCCCAATTTTACACTTTTTTTTATCACTGTCGTTCACCGAATATGTCGGTGCAAATGCTTTGAACATTACGCGAAGGCCACAGTCGTTAGGCAATCCCATCGTTCAAATAGGGGGAGCTTTTTGCCAGAAACCAGAAGTAAACTCCAGTTTCCAGAAAAAACATTATAAATCACAGTTAGATGACCATAGGATACCACAAATGGCCATACATGCAGGCTGGTTGCCAAATACATCCCAAATACAGTCGTGTGAGCATGCTGGGGGGAAGCCAGCTGTTGGAACTTTGTAGCTGGGTTGTAAGTAACTTTTTCGGGTTTTGTCGTAACTTCAATCAGTCATTAAGCAAACAGTCGTAAGCTGAGGACTATTGTACTTGCTTCCCTAAGAATTAGCAGGAGGACCAATCGCTTACTGTTTCTTCTTTTGCTCGGCAAAGATATCTTAGGTCCAAGAGGCAAGCTCTTCTAAAAATTTTAATCAGCACTGGATCTTGCTTTTTTTCAAGAGAGGAGCAGGCAACATCTGTATTACTCCAATGAGTATGTCTGCTAGCTACACTGCGACCGCATATTTAACATGATTTAGAGCTTGACCCCCAAAAGAAATAAGGTTAGAATTAATCTGGCTAGCAAAAGATATTATACTATATAAACAAACGTGATTGGATCTGATGTACCTTATTGTTATTTGTTTTCATTTAGTTAATTGGTCAATGTAATTGTTTCTAATGAATAAAACAAATACATATTTCTTCAGGCTTAATTAGGCTTTCAAGGGATTGCTGATCTGTCTCTTTTCAATTATCGTTGAACGCTGCAAATATTTTAGGCTCTTCTATGTCTCATCCTTATTTCTGCTCAGCAGTACGTCCCATCAGATGCTGCCAATGAGCGAGAACGAAGACAGGGAAAACCAGAATGAACGTATCTCTTTGATCCTTCCTCTATTTCATATTTGCCCTTTTTTATATGGCGGGCTTCAATTGTGGATTGCAAAAGGGACAGAATCTGAATGTTTTGACCACCAAGAACTAATGCAAAATCTCAGGTCACCATCATATTAACTAATTTAGAATTAAAAATCGACCTTGGCTTTTTCAAAATGAATTTTGTCTTGGATGGATAACTAGGACGGTACTTATAAAAAACTGATTGTGGTGTATTGTCACTCCCCGGCAGGAGTGCTTTTGTTCAACATTTCACACAGCATGCTCTCCTCTAGGATATCACACACATAACACACACAAGTAGTCTTTGACTTACAACAATTTGTTTAGTGGTCGTTTGAAGTTACAACGGCATTGAAAAAAGTGACTTATGACCGTTTTTCACACTTACAACCATTGCGGCATCCCCGTGGTCACGTGATCAAAATTCGGATGCCTGGCAAACTGACTCGTATTTATGACGGTTGCCGTGTCCCGGGGCCATGTGATCCCCTTTTGCGACCTTCTGACAAGCAAAATCAACGGGGAAGCCAGATTCACTTAACAACCGTGTTACTAACTTAACACCCGCAGTGATTCACTTAACAACAAAGCAAGAAAAGTTGTAACATGGGGCAAAACTCACTTAAGAAATGTCTCACTTAGCAACAGGAAATTTTGGACTCAATTGTGGTCGTAAGCCGAGGACGGCCTATACAGAACTCCCCATTTTTATTTTCCAGTGGATATTTTGTGTTCTGTGACAATTACGCATGCCTGCTCCATGAGCAAGCATTGGGTGCTGAAGATTCTGGAAGGAAGAGATCAACCCCGGCTGTTCTTTAGAAGGCCAGATCCAGAAGTTGAAACTCAAGTCCTTTGGCCACCTAATGAGAAGGAAGGACTCACTGGAGAAGAGCCTGATGCTGGGAAAGATGGAGGGCAAGAGAAGAAGGGGACGACAGAGAAGGAGGTGGCTGGATGGAGTCACTGAAGCAGTAGGCGTGAGCTTAAATGGACTCCAGAAGATGGCAGAGGACAGGAAGGCCTGGAGGAACATTGTCCATGGGGTCGCGATGGGTCGGACACAACTTCGCAACTAACAACAACAACAACATTTATTTATGAGATTTTTATCCTGCCTTTAAGTTACTATAAGTAACTCAAAGCGGCAAACATGTATAATAGCCCTTCTTCCTCCTAATTTCCCCACAAAAAAATCCCTGTGAGGAAGATTGGTCTGAGAGAGAGTAATGGGCGCAAAGTCACCCAGCCAGCTTTCATTCCTAAGGCAGGACTAGAACTCACAGCTTCTTGATAACTGGCCCAAAGTCACTCAGCTGGCTTTGACTCAGCCTTCTATCCTTCCGAGGTCGGTAAAATGAGGACCCAGATTGCTGGGAGGCAAGATGGTGACTCTGTAAAGTGCTTAGAGAGGGCTATCAAGCCCTGTGAAGCGGTAAGTCTAAGGGTTTTTGCTATTTGATGCAGGTCTAGAACTCACAGACTCCTGGTTTCTAGGCCAACAACTTCACCACTAGATCAAGATCACGTGAAGTGTTAATACCACTTTACAAGGCCTTGGTAAGGCCACACTTGGAATACAGCATCCAGTTTTGGTCACCACGATGTAAAAAAGATGCTGAGACTCTAGAAAGAGTGCAGAGAAGAGCAACAAAGATGATTAGGGGACTGGAGGCTAAAACATATAAGGAACGGTTGCTGGAATTGGGTATGTCTAGTTTAATGAAGAGAAGGATGAGGGGGGACATGATAGCAGTCTTCCAATATCTCAGGGGCTGCCCCAAAGAAGAGGGAGTCAAGCTATTTTCCAAAGCCCCTGAAGGCAGGTCAAGAAGCAACGGATGAAAACTAACCAAGGAGAGAAGCAACCTAGAACTAAGCAGAAACTTCCTGACAGTGAGAACAATTAACCAGTGGAACAACCTGCCTCCAGAAGCGGTGAATACTCCAACACTGGAAGTTTTTAAGAAGAGACTGGACAGCCATTTGTCCGAAATGGTATATAAGGTTTCCTGCCTGAGCAGGGGGTTGCACTAGATGACCTCCAAGCTCCCTTCCAACTTTATTATTATTATTATTATTATAAATTGGGTTTGTTTGTTTTTTCTGCTTCGGTAAGTAGGTCTGGGCATCTCAGCTTCTTCCAAGCAAACAGTATCTTCCTGTTTTACCGTGGAGCCACTACAAGGAATTCACATAGTTGTTAGTTTCATCCGTTAAAAGTCATTCAGGAATGGTGCTTCCTCACCTCGGCCTGAGGATGGACTTTGGGACTCGGACCACAGCAGGTCTTCACGGAAGGCCAGCGCAAGACTCGATAGAGGAAGACGGACCGGAGGGCCAGCCCTACGTTTTTCTTCCTCAGAGCATAGACCAGCGGGTTGGCCAAAGAGTTCAGATGAGAGAGCAAGACAGCCAGATGTTCCAGAGACTCGTACTGTTCGCAGCTGGGACACAGCAGCTGGATACAGTAGATCAGGTGCAGCGGCATCCAGCAGAGGAAGAAGACGCCCACCAGGAGCAGAAGGGTGCAAGCCATCTGCATCTCCTTCCTCTTGGCTGGCCACAGGGGCCGCGACCGGAAATGCTCTCGGACTACACGGAAGATGTCGCCGTAGATACCCAACATGGCCGCCAAGGGCAGCAAGGTGCAGATTAAGAAAATGAAATAAACCAGAAACTCAGGGCTAAAGATGGAGGTGAAAGAACAGCGGCCCAGATCCTCGATTTGGCCGTGACCGTAGCTCAGATTCTTCGGATCGCGATAGGCTTGAGAGAGAAGGTCCCTGGGAGGTTTATCCTGGATGACAAAAACGAAGACGGCTTTCTGCAAACTGATGGCCATCGTCTTGTTTCTGGTCCCTCCGTATTGCTGAAACCGGTTCCATCCCATCATCGGGGAGAGGCCAATCAAGAGGGACAGCAACCAGCAGAAGGCCACGGCGATCATCACCCAGCGCTTCTTCACATGCAGGGGGTAACTGTCCAATGAAAGACATCCATTAGTATCTTTGGATGGGTAGAAGGCAGAATAACAGAATCACAGAGTTGGAAGGGACCTCGGAGGTCTTCTAGTCCAACCCCCTGCTCAGTCGGGAAACCCTACACCAGGGGTAGGCCACCTTGGCTCTTTTGTGACTCGTGGACTTCAACTCCCAGAATTCCTGAGCCAGCCATGCTGAGGGGAAAGGGAGAGGTTTCCAGGCTGAGCCATGCTGGCTCAGGAATTCTGGGAGTTGTAGTCCACGAGTCATAAAAGAGCCAAGGTGGCCTACCCCTGGCCTACACCATTCCAGAAAAATGGTTGTCTAGTCTCTTCTTAAAAGCCCCCAGTGTTAAAAACAAAAACAAAAAACACCTCCATTGTTAAAACCTGCAGCAGACCCAAAACTGCTCAGTGTTGCTTGGAATGAGGCAGCAATGTAAACTAAATTAATTAAAATAAATTAATAAGGCCACACTTGGAATACTGCATCCAGTTTTGGTCACCGCGATGTAAAAAAGATGTTGAGACTCTAGAAAGAGTGCAGAGAAGAGCAACAAAGATGATTAGGGGACTGGAGGGTAAAGCATATAAGGAAAGGCTGCTGGAATTGGGTATGTCTAGTTTAATGAAGAGAAGGACGAGGGGGGACATGATAGCAGCATTCCAATATCTCAGGGGCTGCCCCAAAGAAGAGGGAGTCAAGCTATTCTCCAAAGCACCTGAAGGCAGGACAAGAAGCAACGGAAGGAAACTAACCAAAGAGAGAAGCAACCTAGAACTAAGGAGAAACTTCCTGACAGTGAGACCAATTAACCAGTGGAACAACCTGCCTCCAGAAGCGGTGAATGCTCCAACACTGGAAGTTTTTAAGAAGAGACTGGACAGCCATTTGTCCGAAATGGTATAGGGTTTCCTGCCTGAGCAGGGGGTTGGACTAGATGACCTTCAAGGTCCCTTCCAACTTTACTATTATTATTATTAATAATAATAATAATTAGTTCATTCATTATAATTAATATCACACTCAGTCCATTGCAAAAGGCAGCTTTACTTGGAACAGCTTACATCCTGTGACAATACTTTTCATAATATTCAATAACAACATCTGCCTATCCCAGGTCCTGGCTAGGGAATTCTGGGAGTTGAAGCCCACACGCGACTTCAACCCCCAACTGCTTGTCCTCCAGCCACTAGTGGTATAGTTAATAAATCATGGTTAGACAATGTAATGTCTGAATCGCTGCTGATAAATTAGTTCAGTCCTCGCCTTCTCTTAAATTAAAACAAGAACGCGGTTGTCCCAAGGAGAGCCACTTAGAAACCTGTTTTGTAGGTTTTTATCACTGTTGTACACCATTAGCTTTCCTCAGCCTTTACAAACCAGGCAGATACCCGATAAAATAGCTAGCGACCAATTTAAGTGGCTGAAAAACAGATGATGTTTACTGGCTTTTTCCCAACCTCAAGACAGTTCATCCTGAAAAAGACAATCTTGTTATTGTTCTAAAATACAAGACGATAAAATATATAAATGGCATTGTTAAAGAGAGAGCTGAGTTGAGACCAAATATTCTTTGGGCACAGCCATTCTTCTTCCATCGCACAGATTGATCTCAGGTATGAAAACAAGCAAACCAAGATGAGTTGCCCTCAATTCTCTAAACAGAAAGAGGGGGGGGGGGTGATTCACTACAGGATCCTCGACTTACGACCACATTGAGAACAGAACAGAATAGAATAACAGAGTTGGAAGGGACCTTGGAGGTCATCTAGTCCAACCCCCTTCTCAGGCAGGAAACCCTGTACCATTTCAGACAAATGGTTGTCCAGTCTCTTCTTAAAAACTTCCAGGGAGCCCAAATCCGAGTCCAAAATTTCCATTACTAAGCAAGACAGCTGTAAAGTGAATTTTGCCACATTTTACAACGTTTCGTGCCACCGTTGTTAAGCGAATCACCGCAGTTCTTAAATTAGTAACCCGGTTGTTAAGTGAATCTGGTTTTTCCATTGCCTTTGCTGGTCAGAAGGTTGCAAAAGAGGATCGCGTGATTCCCCGGGACGTTGCAACGATCACAAATACAGGCCAGTTGCCAAGTGTCCAAATTTTGATCACGTGACCCTAGCGATGCTGCAATGGTCATAAGTGTAAGAACTGGTTGTAACTCACTTTTTTCTGTGCCATTATAACTATGGTCACTCAACAAATGGTTGCAAGTCGAGGACTACCTGTACTCCAATCTAGAGAAAGGTCAAATATTTCCAAATGCCTCTTTTCTGTCTTCTTCACCTGAATGTTGGTTCAAGTAAAAACATAGGAAGAACGTATGTTGTTGAGAACATATCAAGAACGGTGGCAGGAACTGCGTATGGCTAATCTAGAGAAAAGAAGAACGAGGGGGGACATGATAGCAGTCTTCCAATATTTGAAGGGCTGCCCCAAAGAAGAGGGAGTCAAGCTATTCTCCAAAGCGCCTGAAGGCAGGACAAGAAGCAACGGATGGAAACTAATCAAGGAGAGAAACAACCTAGAACTAAGGAGAAACTTCCTGACAGTGAGAACAATTAACCAGTGGAACAACCTGCCTCCAGAAGCGGTGAATGCTTCATCAATGGAGGCTTTTTAAAAGAGACTGGACAGCCACTTGTCTGACGTGGTATAAGGCAGAGGTCCCCCAACCTTTTGGGCACTAGGGACCGGTTCCGTGAGAAAGGTTTTTCCATGGACCGGAGGGGTGTGTGGTTTCTCATGCTGTCTGCATCCCACAGATGGAGCTTCACTTGTTTGTATGGTCCAATTTCTGGCATCCTATGGCCCGGTACCGGTTCACAGATCAGGGGTTGGGGACCCCTGGTATAGGATCTTCTGATTCAGCAGGGATTGGACTAGAAGACCTCCAAGCTCCCGTCCAGCTCTATTCTGATTGATTGAAACATGTTCCACTGGCATCTGCAGACTCTCCTAGAACCATCCAGATGCCATGACTATGGCTAACCTCTCTCTCACACACACATACACATTCAAGCTTCACACACTGAGATTCTGATCCAAGAACATGACTTGCCTGTTGGGTAGCTTGAGCTTCAAGTGAGTATGGATGGCTATCACCAACAAGAGGAGGATGGAGAACTGGGTGGTGACCAGTGGGAAGCAGCTGAGGAAGAGACAGGTGTAGAAATACAAGGTATACTCCATGCTGAGCACCATGGAGAAGGGGATGGCTAGGGCGCCCACGCCCAGGTCAGCCACCGCCAAGGAGACAATCAGATAGTTGGTGATACATCGCAGTTCCTTGTGCAGGTAGATGGTGAGACACACCAGCAGGTTGATTGTGATGATGGCCATGGCTAGGATGCTCTCAAGGACCACAAAACCAATATCCATGGCAGCTCTTGTTCTTGGGGATCATCTGATGGCAAAGTCACCTGTTCTTGCCGAGAACTTGATCTGTTCCATCCAAATATCTTAAATCCAAAAGGCCCGTCAACATCCAGCTATTTCTCTGACTTCTGCAGTGTGAAATCTTGGCTCTTTGCTTTCCACAAGCAATAAGAGAGACCTATGTCTGTTTGCTTAGTGCATTGCCAACCCATAGATCAGATGTGTCATGGGCACGAGATAACTTTTTATGTGAGATAGTGCATTAACCTCCGTGTATTAGAGATGTATTTCCAGAGTAAACCAATCAATGTAAGAGCTTAAGTGGATTGGGGTAGGCAGAGCTAGAGATAATAAAACAACCTGAACTGAAAGATACAATTTGCAGGGGGAGGTTATCATGCCAATTCTGGGATTAAAACGTCCCTTGCATTAAACATCTACCTTTCAAATATAACCAGTGAGAAAAGCAGAGTAAAATTAGAGTTAAATTGTGGGCGTGAGTGTGTAAATAAGCACAGAATAATTGGGTAACCGCCTTGTTTAATTGCCCAATAATAACAAGGTTGGAAAACCACACAGGAATTGATCCTGGCTTGCTACCATCTTCAAATGACATATTATTTCCATGCAGTGATAGATACACTCAAGGGGTATCTGGAGGATGGGGTCCAAAAAGTCAAGATGGCAGCCATCATGAGGATGTGATCTAAGATCCTCTCATTTATATACAATACATAAAAATGGGAGGAGCATTGATTGACCACCATCTTGGCTTGGTAGACCATTCCTTTTGGTCCCTATTGCCCCATGCCATTATCTCTTTTTCCTAAGCAGTCATACCTTTGCCGCCATCTTTTGTCCATTTATTTCTAAGAGGCAGCTTGGTCTATAGTGGTTAAAGAAACTAGGAGACTCTGAGTTCTAGTCCAAATCCACCTGAGTGATTTTGGGCCAATCACTAGAAGATGGTGAGTTCTAGTCCCGCCTTAGGCATGAAGGCTGGTTGGGTGACTTTAACCCAGTCCCTCCCTCCCTCAGTCCATCCCACCTCACAGGGTTGTTGTGGTGTTGGGGAAAATAGGAGGAGGGAGGGTGTTAGGTGTGTTTGCCACCTTGAATTGTTTATAAAACTTAGAAAAGCAGGATTAAAAAAGAATAAATCTAATCTTTCTTTTATGTACTTCTCTTTCTCCTCCCATTTTTATTCCTCGTTCCTTTACCAGTTTTGGATTCTCTTCTAAGAGTAAATATTTTGTTTGTTTTTTTAAAAAAATCAGTTTCAGTTTGCCTTTTGTAAATGAGGAGTGAAAATTGCTCAAAATGACACCCACTGGGGGGTCCAGCAAATCATCAACTTTTATGAAACTGAATAACAGAATTGGAAGGGACCTTGGAGGTCATCTAGTCCAACCCCCTGCTCAGGCAGGAAACCCTACACCATTTCAGACAAATGGCTGTCCAGTCTCTTCTTAAAAACTTCCAGTGTTGGAGCATTCACCGCTTCTGGAGGCAGGTTGTTCCACTGGTTAATTGTTCTAACTGTCAGGAAGTTTCTCCTTAGTTCTAGGTTGCTTCTC